CTTGTCTGTTGAATGGCTTTTGGATGCAAGTATTGTGGCTGCCTTGAGCATTCTTACGTTGCCCCGTATACTTTGAGTCGTACTGTACAGTATTCATGCCCACTTGACACGGCGGTAGCGCCAAGGATAGGCCGCAGCCGTCAATCAACCTTCAGAACGTCATTTCCTCACCCAACCCACACTGCACTCGCTCGCTCACTCACTCACTCACTCACTTCCTCCCACTCTCCTATCGCTGTCGGTCTATGTGTTTATCTGTCCCCTCTTTCCCCAATTTCCTCTTTACATTCTTTTCCCTTCAGTGCCGGTCGGCTGTCACATTCTCCCAATCTTTTGACTACTTTCTATCGTCCTCCCCCTTTTCCTCCGTTGAGCGCACCTGTGATTTCATTCCACTGATTGATTAAGTTGCGCACTCGGGCCCACCGGCTCCCGCCGCATTTCCCCGTCCCCTGATCCCCTGATTCTTTACCACCCCCAAGAGCAAGAGCTCTGCACCGTCAAGATGAGTCGGTACGTGTCATCTATTATGCTCTACCAGATATGCGCGGAAGCTCGGAAGGGTTGAAGACCGACTAACATGATGTGTCTAGCACTGAGGCTGATTTGGCCATCAACATTCGCAAAGCTACCAGCATCGGTAAGTCGAGTGTAGCTCAATCTAACGATGGCCTTCTAGCTTCTTGTGACTGATCAGATTTCAATCGCAGAGGAAACCGCACCGAAACGTACGCATTGATCTCATCACCACCCTTTCGACCTCCGAAGCACCGCTCCGCACTGCATCCGCGTCTGACCGTCCGTCGCTAATGCTCGCCCAGGGAAACATGTTCGGAGCTGCATCGTCTATACATGGGACCATAAATCCTCTGCGGCCTTCTGGGCTGGTATGAAGGTGTATGTTGTAGCTTCGCTCTTCACAACGCTCATTTGCGATGATGGTGACGGCTAACCAAGCTGTCTCTACGTCACAGCCAGCCGGTCCTTGCCGACGAGGTGCAAACCTTCAAAGCGCTTATCACGATCCATAAGGTGCTGCAAGAAGGCCACCCGATAGTGATTCGTGAAGCGCAACAACATGCCAACTGGATTGACAGCCTCATGCGAGGTGTCGGGGGCGAGGGTCTTCGAGGTGGGCGGCCATCTGAACTGTCGATAAATGTTACAAGCCGTTAGAGCTCAGTACTGACTATCCACCGTGATGCTCTAGGATACGGACCCCTGATCCGGGAGTATGTCTACTTCCTCGAGTCGAAGCTTGCCTTCCACCGAAACCACCCCGAGTTCAATGGTGCGGATACCGGTCTCAGGCTCTTGGATACATACTAAATCTTCGCAGGCCTCTTCGAGTACGAGGAGTACATCAGTCTGAAGACGATCAATGATCCTAATGAGGGGTATGCGAATCATGACGCTAGCACCAAACTTGGCTGACATCATGAAAGCTACGAAACTATTAGCGACCTCATGACTCTTCAGGACCAGATCGATGCCTTCCAGAAACTCATTTTCTCGCATTTCCAGTCGGGCACAAACAATGAATGCCGGATCTCTGCGTTGGTTCCGCTGGTGCAGGAGAGCTACGGCATTTACAAGTTCATTACCAGCATGCTAAGGGCTATGCACACAAGTAGATACTACCTCCCCTGCAACTGCGGATCCATGGAGACTAACAGATGCCCGTTTAGCGACTGGTGACCACGAAGCCTTGGAGCCTCTCCGTGGCCGATATGACGCCCAACACTACCGCCTCGTGCGGTTCTACTACGAATGCTCTAATTTGCGGTACCTCACCAGTTTAATCACCGTTCCCAAGCTGCCGCAGGATCCGCCCAATCTCTTGTCAGAAGACGATGATCGTCCCGCTCTTCCGAGACGACCAGCCAAAGAGCCCGAGCCCGAACCCACCCCACCTCCCAAGCCAGTGGCTGCAGATCCAGAACCCATCAACGACTTCTGGACCACCGAAGCGAAGCGCCAGCAGGAGGAATATGAGGCGGAGCAGCGCCGCTTGCAACAACAGTGGGAGGAACAACAGCGCCAACAACTCCTGGCGCAGCAGCAGGCGCAGCAGGATTTCGAGGAACAACAACGTCTCCAGGCGGAGCAACAGCGTCTGGCTCATGAGCAATTGTTGCGCGATCAATACCAGACTCAAACACAAGGTCGACTGGCTGAGCTTGAGCAAGAGAACTTGAATGCTCGTGCTCAATATGAGCGCGATCAGTTGATGCTGCAACAGTATGATCGCCGAGTCAAGGACCTGGAGGAACAGATGAACCAGTTAACCGCGAATTTGAACCTGCAAAATGCTTCCAAGGATGATCAAATCCGATCCCTGCAGGAGCAAGTGAACACCTGGCGGTCCAAGTATGAGGCTCTAGCTAAGCTTTACTCGCAACTGCGCCAAGAGCACCTGGATCTGTTGCAGACCACGAAGAGCCTCAAGCTCAAGGCTGCATCGGCCCAGGAGGCGATCGAGCGGCGGGAGAAGCTCGAACGTGAGCTCAAGACCAAGAACTTGGAGCTGGCCGACATGATCCGCGAGAGAGATCGCGCACTGCATGACCGAGATCGTTTGACCGGCAACAACAAGGAGGAGCTAGAGAAACTCAAGCGGGAGCTCCGAATGGCCATTGAGCGCGCAGAGAACGCTGAGCGCTCGAAGGGTACTGAAATCTCCACGTTGTTGTCGAAATACAACCGTGAGATGGCCGACCTGGAGGAGTCTCTCAGGGTAAGTTCCGTTTTGCATAAGGGCATATTTGAAACTGTACACTAAGTGACCGCATACAGAAAAAAACTCGTGCTCTGGAGGAGTACTCTTCCAGAAACTCGGAACGCGATGGTGACCACGAGCTTGCGCTTCGCGAAAAGGACGAGGAAATTGAGGTGTACAAGTCCGGAATGGAGCAGGCTCTCATGGAACTCGAAGAGTTGAAACTGGTACGTTTAGCCCGCGGAAACGAAAGAAAGTGTTTGGCTAACCCTGTGCCTTTCAAAGAGCCAAGGTGATGTCGATACAGCTCTTGATACTCAGATTGATCAAGTCTTGCACGGCACTGTGGCCAAGATCAATGATATCATCGATTCCGTTCTCCAGACTGGTGTTCAGCGGGTGGATGATGCTTTGTACGAAGTGGACTCTACCATGCAGGCTGGTAACCAAAATGCCTCGCCTCCCTATGTGCTTTCCCAGATCGAAAAGGCGTCTGCGTCGGCAACCGAATTCTCCACTGCCTTCAACAACTACATCGCCGACGGACCTAATAGCACGCACGCGGAGATCATCCGTACCGTGTCGATCTTTTCCGGCTCAATTGCCGATGTTCTCAGCAACACGAAGGGATTGACTCGCCTCGCTAAAGACGACAAGAATGCCGATCAGCTGCTTAACGCGGCCCGCAAGTCTGCACAAGCCACAGTACGGTTCTTCCGGGGCCTGCAGTCGTTCCGTCTGGAGGGATTGGAGGCTCTGCAGAAGACCGACGTGGTGATCAACAACAATTTGGAGGTGCAAAGAGACTTGCAGGCTCTGTCGAAGTTGGTCGACGTCTTCGCTCCCAAGAGCGCGAGAATCACCACGAATGGAGACCTCGGCGACCTTGTCGACCAGGAGCTTCTAAAGGCGGCTGATGCCATCGATGCTGCGGCGCAGCGCCTGGCGAAGCTCAAGAAGAAGCCCCGTGATGGCTACACCACGTACGAGCTTCGCATTAATGACGTTATCTTGGAAGCGGCTATTGCCGTGACCAACGCCATCGCTGAGTTGATCAAGGCGGCGACTGAGTCGCAGCAAGAGATTGTCCGCGAGGGTCGTGGTAGCTCTTCGCGCACGGCATTCTATAAGAAGAACAATCGTTGGACGGAGGGGTTGATCTCGGCAGCCAAGGCCGTCGCTAACTCGACCAACACTTTGATCGAGACGGCCGATGGGGTTATCTCCGGTCGCAACTCGCCTGAGCAGCTGATCGTGGCCAGTAACGACGTGGCTGCTAGCACGGCTCAGCTGGTGGCGGCCAGCCGTGTCAAGGCTAGCTTCATGAGCAAGACCCAAGACCGTTTGGAGAGCGCTAGCAAGGCTGTCGGCGCCGCGTGCCGGGCTTTGGTGCGGCAGGTGCAGAGTATCATCAAGGAGAAGAACCAGGAAGACAACGAAGCGGTCGACTACAGCAAGCTCGGCTCCCATGAGTTCAAGGTGCGGGAGATGGAGCAACAGGTAAGCTCTTCATCCAGACTTCTTTCTAGGATACAGAAAGCTGACTCTTTTTGGGATTCCAGGTCGAAATTCTTCAGCTGGAGAACAGTCTTGCTCGCGCCCGCCAACGCCTGGGAGAGATGCGCAAGATTTCCTACCAGGAAGATTGATTGCGCGGGGATGATCAATGTGGCTGAGATGTGGGTGATTGTCGTGTACGGTTGTCGCATGTTGCAATGGTTGTCAGCGTCGTTGTACCTACTGTTTGCCTTCTCTTGATTCTCTTTACTTTCCTGTCATCACCCTTCCTTCCCATTTCCCTTGCTCGTTGTTGGCAGTCGTGCATGGCATTGGTTTTGCACTTTTGTAATTTATTCTACCTGCAGCCAATACACCTCCCACGGCGCTCCTAGTTCGTTGGACACACCACGAGTCAATCCCTTGCGCTCTTTCTCTTCATTAGATTTCTTTTTGATGATTTCCTTGTCTAGGTTTAAGCTATGTTGTAGATTGTACAAAGGCATGACCAGTTACGCGGTGCCCTTATACATACTATGGTCACTCGAAATGTTTAATCTCAAAAGTCAGAACTGTGCTCCGGAACCAATCACAGTTAGCTGGGCTCACCACAATGCAGCAGCAGCAACAGCAGCAGCAGCAGCAGCAGCCGCCGCCTCGCAACAACACTACCTAATAGCCCCCAAAGCCACGCCGAATCTTCATCCTCAGTCAGGGTCTTAGTGGAACGAACACATCTGGCTAGTCCTGACGAGGCAGTGACGAGGATGAGGGTGCGCTTTCCTTACTTGGAAAGCGGTGGCTTTACCGTGGACCTTTTCCTCCCTCTCCGTCCTCTCTCCCTCCCTCTTCCTCTATCATCATACCGTGTCTTCAGCAGTCTCAACAGCATCGTGTTGTGGGTGGTGGTGGCCGGGCATCTCGATTGCTGGCGACATTTTCTCTCGCGCGTCGTGGTGTTTTCTACAAGGGGAATAGGCTCTAGAGTGGTTATTTACGTCTGGTAGACGTAACGAACCAACGCCATTGAAACGATATCCGTAGCGGTCAAAACAATCAATCTCAAGCCTCAACGTGCGCGATGGCGCATAACCTGATGGGAGCGTAACTCCCTGCATTCCGCGAACGCGGGCGGACTAGGTAAGACCTCATGACCATGTCCATGTCCATCAGATTCGGTTCTGCAGGCGAGTGGGGCAGTAGCCTGGAGATTGTGGGGAAAGGGGAGGGATGATGGGTCCGAGTGGAGAAGAGAAAGAAGGGTTCAATGCTCATACTCCGTGCCTCTGCTAGTAACTGTACTACGGAAGACACACTCCAGGACTATAAGGACCTGGACTGCACTGCTCTGTACGTTTGTGTTTATTCTTCTCGGGCCTTTTCTTGGCGATAGGGTTGTCTTCTTAAGGTAGGAGTGGATTTCAGGGGGGTGGGTGGATTCGGTGGGGTAAAGGTAGGTAGGTAGGTTGGTGGGTGGGAGAAGTCTGGGAGCACTCGAGGAGTCAGTCGTATGGACTTCCTCTCGTGTCGTGACTTGAGGTAGATCTGCTGGGGAGGGATAATAATCTCTACAGTAAGTTACATCCTACGCTTACGATGAGAGAAAGGGGATCCATTCCCTAGCAGTAAGTATTGTATTGAGAATCCAAATTTAGACGGAACACAACAAGAAAAAAATAAAACAGACGCAGGCAACCACCATTGCACATCCCTACTCGAAACCAGGGATCACTAAACATCATATACACAGTCCCGTGGCAAGCCAGTCAATACGTCCAACACCGCAACCGCTTCCGTCCAATGCCGTAACCTGCCGACGACCGCTCCCTCGACTCCTCAGCCGCCAGCAGCGGCAGCCGCTCCTTCCTCCACGCCTCGAACCGGGCCCTCGTCTCGTCGAGGAGACTGCCCCTGCCCCCTCCCCCTCCCCCTCCTAGCGTGGCCTCCTGCTGCGCCGAGACCAGCTTCAACCACCCGGCGTCCGTGTCCCGCGTGATGCCCGCCCCGCCCAGGAACCAGTTGCGGAGCACCTGGCCCACCGGGTTGCCGACCTGGAGGACGCGGCAGCTGAGGAGGCCGGCCTGGACGGCCTTGGTGGCGGCCGGTCTGCGGAGGGCCTCGTGGAGGGCGAGGATCTCCGGGAGCAGGCGCGGGAGTTGGTCGGGTGCGGGGCTGTGGTGGTTCAGGAGGCCGAGGAGCGTGCTGAGCACGGCGGCGTCTTCGAGGGTAGCGGCCAGGTCTTGGGCTTGGTAGGGGGGGATGATGCGGCTGGCGGTGCCGAGGAGGAGGGTTCGGGAATTGCGCCAGGTGGGGAGGTCGCGGAGGGTGTGGTGGGTGGTTTGAGAGGCGAAGGTCGCGTGGGCGAGGATGGTTGGGAGTCTAAAGTTGGGATTGTTAGGTAAGGAGTTGGATCAGGGGGGATGTTGGGGGCTGAAGAGAGGCTTTTATCGATGGTCCCAGCCTTGATGCAGTGCTTGTATCTGGGTGAGACCGGCTGCTTCTGCTGGAGGAGTGCTGTATGCGTGGTAGGTCACAAGCATATACTCTTCTCCCTGCCGGACGGGGAAGATGACGGTGTGCTGCGCGGAACCTAACCAGGTGGTGATCTTGTTCTTGGAGCAGAGCTCGTCGAGTTGGCCGTCATCGATGGCTTTCAGCGCCGATCGCGAGATGGTTGCTTGGTAGGCGATGTCGCTGGCTGGGCTGGGCGGGCTTGGATGGTTCAAGACTGTGTCTCGAGTTCTGGAGAAGATGCCTGTTTTCCCGTGGTCGCCATTTTCAGCATTGCACGAGGTTCTCTTTGTCCGTTTAGAGCATCAAGGAATAGGGAGAGACAAACCATCGGCTCCAATCACCACATCTCCTTGAATGCGAGCTCCGTCCTTCAAAACCACCTCGGCGGTGCCGCAATGAACCTCCTCCACGATGGCATGAGGTCGGATATCTATCTCTAATTGTCGCGCTTTGTCAAGTAGTATGTCGAGAAGGTCCGCCCGAGTGATATTACTGTTTTGCAGTATTAGCTTGAGTTGGTTTGTCTCAGATGGGCCTTGGCCAGGGGATGGAAGTACAGGACATACAGCCAAGGTCCTCCGTAAGCCCGGCGAGCCGGTTCTCCCCACGGCATCGACCGAATCAACGCCCCATCGTGAAAGCGTCTGAAATCCAGATATTCTGTACTAGTCCCTTTGCGAGTCACAGCCTCCAGAAGATCCAGTTGATGCAGGACTCGGGCTCCCTTGGGAGGGATCTGGATACCGGCATTGACCTGCAGGCGAGAGCGGAAATCAGCAAACAAAAATACCCTAAATACCCTGCCACGCCCCCGTCGGTTCCACTCACCTCAATCTCAGCCTGTTGCTCGAGAACAATCACGTCCAATTGCTCCCGCTTGTAAGCGATCGCACAGATGAGTCCGTCTACTTCGGCGCCGATGATGATCACCTTCATGGTGGTGGGGAGGTGGCACAGCTTGTGAAGGGGGGTTTATGGTGGTGTCCGACAAGAAGAACAAAGAGAGGGGCCATCGTCGATTGAAAACGAAGCAACTGCCTTACCCCGCATGACTCAACGGAGGTACGAATACGTGGACAAAGCAATTCGAGACGAGGGAGAAAAAAGCAAGTTGAGTCCTGGACTGAAGGAGGGGGTGTATGCACCGTGCAGCATGAGGTCATACAGAGGGGAAACAAACATTCCAACAAAAACTGTCAGGCGTCTTTATCACGCCACGGGAAGAAGCAAGGTGGTATTGGGAAGAGATGCACAGATGCGATGTGTGTGTAACTGCACCCAAGAATACACACGAGGTCGACGCTTGACACTTGACACTTGACACTTGCCACTTGCCACTTGACCACTGATGGCCTAGAGCAGCTTATAACCATCGCTTCTCGTCAGCGCCCAATGGCTTCGGCATGATCTCCCATCCTACTTCCACCCCCTGGATTGACCCTGAATGTCGCACCGAGGTCATCCTGCCGAACCCCGTCATATGCGTCTCCATGTACTCCGAAGGCACATCCTCCGGACGGAAATAATCGGGCGCGTCGAATCCGCTTCGGCCCTCGTATTGTCCCAGCGACCGCAAGTACTTCATCGCCCCGGCCAGGGAGACATCCACCTGCCACGATCCGCCCTCCGTCGCCTGCTTGTACAGCGCCGCCATGACCCCGGCGGCGAGGAAAAAGCCTCCCGCATAATCCAATGCCTGACACGGCAGCGGACGGGCTGCCTCGCCAGCACCAAAGTGCTCGGCCTCGGACACATTCAGCCCCGAGCACGTCTGGACCAGGGAGTCGAATCCGCGACGGCCAGCCCACGGCCCGTCCGGACCATACGCCGACAGATTCGCACAGATGATCCCGCGACCGGCGCATCTTCGCGCGATCGCCTCCGGGGACAGCCTGCGCGCCGCCAGACTCCCCGGCCTGTAACCCTGGATGAACACGTGCGCCTCGTCCAGGAGCCTGAACAGCTCCGCTTCATCCTCTTCATCCTGCAGATCCAGCTGAATAGTCCTCTTCCCACGGCCCATCTCGCGATCTAGGTCCGGCAAATCCGGAAGATTGGGACTCGTTACCCACAGGACATCGGCGCCGTGGGCGGCGAGCGTCTTGCCGGACAAGGGCGCCGCAATCACGCGAGACATCTCCAGCACCCGCAGCCCGCGCAGGCACTTATCCGCGCCGCCAGCCCCCAGGCAGTCCGGCATCCCCGGCCCCGTTGACGCGCCGTCGCCAATCTTGCGTAGCCGGATCGGCGTATCCGCAATGGCACGGGCCTGGGGAAGCACATCCCACTGCGCGAAGCTCCGCAACGCAGCGATGGCGAGCCCGGTCTCGACCCCCGTCTGCTCCAAGTCCACGCACCGCCACGCGGCCACCTTCGCCGCGACGGCCTCCCGATCCATCGTCACATCCGGCGCGCAGCCGAGGAGCGCCTTGGCTCCGTCCCGGTGGTTCGGGAACCCGTCATGCACGCGCACGTAGCCGTCGGACGTTCTGTGTAGACCGCCCACCGGGCTGGTTGGGGGGAATTGGACCGGCTCGCCGTCGATCGTGTAGAGTCGCCAGGAGTTGAATTCCACACAGGCGTGGCGGAACGAGACGGTCACTGTGGGTGGTCGTGGGGCGAGGTTGTGGTTGTGGTTGTGGTTGTGGTTGTAGTTGTGGTTTCGCAGGCTGTGGATCTGCGCGGCGAGCAAGGTCGCAAGGGCGATGGACGCCTGCGCGAGATGGCCCACCTTGAAGGAGGATGGGAGACCTGGTTTCTCGGGGTCGATGATGTCGAGCGACGCCAGACTGGCTTCGGGGAGGCCGAGGTCGCGCCAGAGGTGTGCGACGGAATCCTGGGAGGTGAACGCGCTTCTGTCTGGGCTTGATGCTGCCATTCTTACTCATGTGCCGTAGATCCTGCTGGAATGTTTCGTGTCGAATGTTGTCTAACGCTCGAGGGGTTAAGAGAGGGGGATTAAGTATGACTCGATCTCGGCAATGGCCCGGGCCAGCGTCCGATCACACGGCACGAGTTGCCGAGAGGAAATGGGGTCGAATGGTTGTGTATTGCAACAAGAGACGAGATTCGCATTGCAGGCAAAAAAGCTTCTGTCTTTGCAGAGTCTAGCATTCGCAAATCAGATTCATGGCCAGCTTAAGTTCCTAGCAAGGTGGAGAGTTGTAGGGGCGGAGATTAGCGAAGTTGTTTACCTGGCGGAGAAACAACAACCTACCAAGTAATTTACTGTACCATGGGAATTGGCAATCCAGATGCGTTTGAGACAGACTTCAAGTAGATAGATAAGATATCGCAGAGCCAGCGATACTCCGTGCTTGGAGGAAGATATGGGATGATAAGATTGGGGGGGGGGGGGTGCTTATCGTGTGCGGGGTAGATGCAGTCGAGTATGCACTGCTTGCTGTACAGATGCCAATACTACCTAGGAGATGCTCAAGTCAACCCCATATAACAACAAACCCCCTCCTTCTACCACCACTACGCCTCTCCCACCAGCCCAGCAAACACACACCCCCTACCTACAATGACCGACCAACTCCCCCACGTATCCAACTGGATCAACGGGGCGCACGCCGCCGCCACCCCCGAACGCATCACGGTCCTCAACCCGGCAACCTCCACCCCGCTCGCAACCATCGACGCCACGCCCGAGACCACCATCGACAGCATCATCGAAGACTCCCTCACCACCTTCCAGAGCGGCACCTGGTCGCGCGCCGACCCCACCACACGCTTCACGGTCCTCACCACGGCCGCCCGGCTCCTGCGCACGCAGCTCCCGGACCTGATCGCCCTCGAAACGGCGCAAACCGGCCGGCCGATTCGGGAGATGCGCACGCAGCTCGCGCGGGTCCCCGAGTGGCTGGAGTACTTCGGGTCGCTGGCGCGGGTGCACGAGGGGTCGGTGCCGCCGTTCAAGGGCCCGTCGGTGACGAACACGCTGACGCGGCAGCCGCTCGGCGTGGTCGCGCTGATCACGCCCTACAACCATCCGCTGCTGATCGCGATGAAGAAGCTCGGGGCGGCGCTGGCGGCGGGGAATACCGTCGTGGTCAAGGCGTCGGAGCTGGCGCCGCTGTCCGTGCTGCGCATGGGCCCGCTCTTCCAGGCGGCCGGCCTGCCGGACGGGGTGCTCCAGATCGTCAGCGGCTACGGCGCGCACACGGGCAGGTTCCTGTGCCAGCATCCCCGGCTGGCCAAGATCGATCTGACCGGGGGCATGGCGACGTATCGTGCCGTCGCGGCCGTCGCGGCCCGGAATCTGGTGCCGGTTACGGCCGAGCTCGGCGGCAAGGCGCCCGTGTGTCTGTTCGATAGCCTCGAGGTCGACACGGCGGTGCGGGCCGCCTTGTTTGCCGGGTTCATTGCCAGTGGGCAGACGTGTGTGACGGGGAGTCGGCTGTTGGTGCATCGGGAGATTTATGAGGAGTTCAGGGAGGTGTTGGGGCGGAGGGTGCGCGCGTTGCGGGTGGGCGATCCCACGCACGAGGCGACGCAGATTGGGCCGGTGATTTCACGGGCGGCGGTGGAGAGATGTGCGGCGTTTGTGGAGAGGGCGGTGCAGGAGGGGGGGAAGATTCTCTGCGGTGGTGGTTGTGTTTCGAGCAGGGCAGGGTTCTATTTCGAGCCCACGGTGATCGAGACCCATGCGGACTCGGATCTGGCGTGTAATGAGGTCTTTGGGCCCGTGATCGCGCTGCTCAAGTGCGAGTCGGAGGAGGAGATCGTGCGCATCGCTAATAGTACCGCCTTTGCGCTGGGGGCGTCGGTCTGGACGAATGACTTCAAGCAGGCGCATCGCGTGGCGGACCAGATCGAGGCCGGCATTGTCTGGATCAACGGTCATCATCTGAATGACCCTTCGTCGCCCTGGGGTGGGTTCAAGGAGAGCGGCATTGGCAAGGAGAATGGCCTGGCCGCCTATGAGAGCTACACCAAGCTCAAGAGTACGGTCGTCAACTATGGGGTGCCGCCGGTTTGGTTCGATGACGAGCCCAAAGATGCGCGGTATGGCTAGGGTCCAGACGGTGTCTGTGTCCGGCTGGAGATGTTAGTTCAACGCTGGGTTGCGAGTCTATAATTCAACTCCTTCTCTTCGAAGGGAGACTACGGGTCTTGTTCATGTGCTCAATAACTTAGTATGCAGCTGGTTGCTGTTATCTCATTCCACGAAAAGCCCCGTCTCTGCCAACCCGCTCTGATGTAGCGCCAATGTGTATGCCCAAGCACGGTGCAAAATAGATACAAGGGAAGATAAGCCATTTCGTCTGTAGATCGCCACATAATCGCGTAGTTCATCCTGAAGCATCCAGTCTAGTCTTTCCAAATTTCAGCCCTGCCAACTAGTCCAACGCGCGTGTCGCCTCGCGACGAGCAATGTAGGCCTGACGCTCCGCCGCCCACTCGGGACTCAACTGCGACAGAGGCGCGGGGATGTACTCATTCTCCCAGACGTCGGGATCGACCGTCCTGATCTTCGCATTCCTGGGCAGAGGCAGACCGTGCTCCTCCGCCAGCCCCTCTCGCTCGAAGTGCTTCAACATCGCCGCCCCCTCCGCGTCCGCCAGCCGCAGCAACAGGGCCCAAAACTCCTCATCCGAGAGCGTCCAGAGCACCTCCTCGGGCATCTTGCCCTGGCGTACCAGATCCCCGATCAACCGGCCGGTGCGCTTGTACATGTCGGCGTGGGCGGGGTTGGACCACACCTCCTGGTCGATCTGGAGATACGCGCGGGCGAAGCCGAGCGCGACGCGGCGGTGCTCCAGCACCAGGATGCGGTTGCGCGCGGTCGGGTAGGGGAAGGCGCGCAGACAGCGCAGCAGCTCGCGCACGCGGTCCTGGGTCAGCTTCCCGAAGGCGAGGCCGTCGCGGAGCGCGTAGTCCAGGCGGTCCGCGCAGAGGTGCGGCGCCGGCAGCTCGACCAGCGGGTACTG